TATATACATATACACTGAAACGACATAGAAAGAAAAATGTAGCAAGAAATAAAACATTTCAATATTTGCATTTATCTTAGTATTTTAAGGTTACGAAAATTATTTCCGTAACAAATTCCACAATTTATATTGACGGCCAAAAGTGCATATATTTTTAAAACTTTTGTTAGTATTATTTTATGTACTAAATTTTAATCGAAATTTAACTACGAATCTGAAAATAAACTTTAAAATTAAAATTTCCAAAACCAAAAAACTAACAATATTTGAAAACGTTGAGAAAGTGTAGTATAAATTGATTTTGATACAGTAGAACTGAACATCTTAATAAACTATGCATATATAGTATAATGTTAATAAATTTTCAATTATATAATCGATTATAAACTAATAAAGAATCTAGATCATGTACCAAATAAAATAAATGTAATTTCTGTTTCTTAAAACAAACAGCTGGTTGATTTCGTTTAAAGATTATCTGTACTAATAAATAGGAGCGTTAAAATCGTTCAATTAAAGTTAAAAAAATAACATTTTTTCCTCTTCGGAATAATCCAAAATTCTCATTTTAAAGGGGTCGTCCAGTGGGAAGCAAGTTTTTTAATGCTTTTTAAATTTTATTTTTTATAAACCATTAAAAAAAAACTAATTTATAAAATGTATATCGCTTTCATTCATTTCCGATCATTTTATTGATTTAGTTATTTCACAAAAATATTAGTACAATAAGATTACATAATCGTTTTCAGTACAACAGCATAACAAAGATTAGAAGCTCTGTCTGTAATCAAGGTTAAGATCAAACTAATGTTTAATGACCGTCGTACTCTAAGAGGTGCCCTAGTCAACTATGCGACGCTTGAATTCACCATGGAAATGGTTCGGAGGGTCATCGGGAAGAGGAAAGCCTCTAAATCCACTGGTCTTGACGAAATAAGCATGCTGATGCTAAAAGATTTAGGACCTGTGGGAGCAGACTTTCTCAGCAAGGTCCTCAATTTCTCTGTGAGCACCCTAAATATACCCGACATGTTCAAAATGAGTAGGATAATTCCGCTACGGGTGATATCTGTCCTCTCCCCAGTAGGAAAGACTCTTGAGGCCTTGCTGCTCCCGACCTTCACACAGAATCTGAGTCCAGCAGCAAATCAGCACGACTTTCCTAATGTATACAGCACTACAACTGAACTTAACGCCATAAACACTCAGACCGGTCTAGTAACATTGGATGAAAAGTACTGCAGCTAGCTGCTTTATTATAGTACTGCAGCTAGCTGCTTTATTATAGCGATTTTTGGGTGAAGGATCTTATCAAAGATCAGTTGGGAATGATTCTAGCATAAGTGTAGGTAGAAGCACGGTGTCAACGATTTGGATGTAAGCTTACAGTTATGGATAAAAAATTTTTCTATAAATTCAATTAGGATTGTATTTTGTATTGCATTTTTATGTTTTCCCCTAGTACGAATAAGAATATAAGATAATTTATTTATTATTATTCAAAACCAACATTGACTCACATTTCTACATAATTTTTAACTACAAGTGTAAAAAAAACATTTACACAAATCAAATCCAATAGCGGGAAGTTGCTTGGATCGTTTCCAATAACAAAACCGATAATTTTGTTTTTTTGTGACACCTAAAACCGGCACTAATTCCAATTCGAACATAAAACCGATAACATCGGATTTCATGGAACCAAAGCAATTTTTTTGTCGGTTTCAATTCCAATTCCGACAGCAATTGGATTCTTTGACTGGCGGCAGTAAAATAACTCCTACATATAACCCTGACCTACCTAACGTCTTGCTTGCAATAAGTCCCCGAAAGACACTAACCACCTCTTTGCTCATACTCTGCTTCGTTACATTGGCAGGGGAGAGAGTATTGACAAAGAACAACCTAGTTGATTGTGGGGATTTATAAGAAGGCACCAAATATTAGACATTCTAGTGAACCTAGTAAGAGAAGTTAGAAGATAGTTTGGAGATTGAGATACAGCAGTTGTCGTCTCCAAGATAAAATATTTTCAAAATTGAAAAGACTATACACATACCGTGTAACATTCAGGGGTGTTGGAGAATAAAATTGTTGTCAGAATCAGAATAGAAACCGGCAAAATTCTGCTTAAGGAGTTACTCCTTCCGATTATTGATTTACATATCGGTTCCATTTTCGAAAAAGAATTTGTATCGGTTTAAGTGTCAGAATTAAACCGAGCAGTTATTAACTGACAGAATCGTGTGCTACCTGCTTTGCAAGCAGAAATGTAAAAAAGGTCACGAGCTCACCGCTTTTCGCTGTCGTTCATGTCTAACTTTTTTCAGCGCGGACCAATCAACCGTTCAAAAGCCTTTAGATCTTGTTATAGCCACCGAGACTGTGGGTCGCGCTAACGAGATATTTGTGTTATTACCCAGAGACCGATGAAAGGAGCATTCTGCCAGTTGCGGCACAGGTGGATTGAGCAGCCTATTTCACTTGCCTTCAAGGGCATCCAGCACTATTGCAAAGACTTCTTTGTTAAGACGATATTGGTCTATGAATCTAATACTTACAAATTTTTTATCAGCAAATGTAAAAGTAGAATGCAAATTGCATTTACATCGACTCTGGCAGCACCAGCCGATTGCTTTTATTTTGCGCTTTATTTTCATGCTGGTTTCTCCAAATCCTGGTATCATCACAAAGGCTACCCCGGCTGAAGTCATTTTATTTTTAATCAAAACTCACGAATTCGTTAAAGCCAGTACAAAAATTAAATGAAATTGCTGGATTTATTGCACAAGTTGGTTTCCAGTTGATTCGAAAATCAGTTTGGCTTAACTTCGGAAAAGGCAAAGCCAAGTCGTTTGCACAACAGCATTTCAAACAGGTATTGATTTTCAAAGCCGCTATTCTTACATTCCTGATTTTTAAACAAAACATCTGGCTTGCAATATACGTCATTACAGTACATTATAATTAGAAGAGTAAGCTGATGTTTGGTAACAGTCGTTGTGCAGATAGCTTATTGCCTCTGGCTTCTCAGAGGAAACCTTGTTTACCACAGAATATGCATGATCACTGTATGTTAAGTTAGAGTTAATGGTAAATCCTATGTTTTTAATCTTATTAAATATTTCCAAGGGACTGCTAACTATATACATAGTCAAAGTTGTTAATTTATTACTTTTTAAAATTAGACCACTAGCAGCCGTCCAAGTCGAGATAGCAGACACGTTAGCATTGATAATGCTGGAGAGCTGATCTGCATGATGAATTGCGCTCAATATAATCAGCGTAGCCTTGAAGGTTTGAAATTTTGCAGACACTAAAAATAGCATTAATGAATATGCTGAAGAGCATCGAAGCCTTGGGGCAACCCTGATGTCACAGGCTTGCGATGCGATCAGTTGTAGCCGATTTTTACCAAATGGCTTCTATCCAGATAGAAGAAGTATTAGTTCATAGTTCATTGAGTTCATTGGCTTATTGTTATCAACTGCCACATTCTTCGTATTTTCAAAACAATTACGGATTTTGTAGCAAAGCTTGCCCTCTATGCAAAAAAAAATATCTGTCGCTCTTATGCTGAATATCGCCATCGTCAGTGAAAATGGTGGTGCGGTAATATTGGTATGTCGTTCAACGCCTTCGTCAACGGTATCGTCAGATGACATCAGCGACATCTTGACAGAGGAAAAAGAAAAGGTAACCGGCGAAGGGGTTACAAACAGATGGTATTGCTCCTCTTAAAGAATCTGTTGCAAATTTGATTTTGATGGGATACGAAGTGCTGTTAAATACAGCTGTATTTGGTGTGAATGATGATAACAATGGCCCGCAGCGCGACATTACCAGCAACAATACGTCAACAGATTCAGAGAGAGTTCCTGAAGTGTCAAGCGAGGAATCTTCTCGAGTAGACGTTCCGTAGTAAAATAAAATTTCACAAATAATTTTCCCAAAACAGAATTTTTCCGCACACAGGGTTTTCGCGTTTTCTCAATTCACGAGGGCAAGACGCAATATCTACTGTCAGCAAACAAACAGTAGTCGTGACTCGACTCCCACGACACTGTTGATAGTCATAACTTTGAAGTCCTAGATAACTTCGTCTATCTTATAACCAGTATTAACACCAACACAAGTCAGCCTGGATATCCAACGCAGATTCACTCTTGCCAACAGGTGCTACTTTGGACTGAGTAGACAATTGAAAAGTGAAGTCCTCTCTCGACGAATAAAAACTGTTATAAGATGCGGAGGCATGAACGATCAAAACATCTGATGAGCCACCGTTAGGAGTATTCGAGAGAAAGCTTTGTGTGAGATTGATGGTCCTCTACGAGTTGGAAACGGTACCGCAGCTGATGAAATAATGAGCTGTATTAGATATACGGCGATATTGACACGTCTGAATGAATAAGAATACTCCAGCTTGGAAAGTTTTCGATGCAGTACCCGCCGTAGCTATACTTGGTATCCCCAATCGGGACCAAACAACGAAAAGAAGAAATTAATGGCGCAATGATATAAATTCGTATGATTTTAGCAGCCGCGGTAGGCGAGAGGTTAGTATTGCGTACTGCCATTCAGAAGGCTCGGGCTCGAATCCCCGAGCGACCAACATCATAGAAAACTAATTTAAATAAAAAATTAAGTTAAAATTTCTAACTGCGGTCGCCCCTCGGACATGAATTAAAGCTCCTCATAAAAAAACCATCAGCCGTTCGGAGGCGGCTTAGTATAGACTGTAGTTCCCTCCAATTGTTGGAAAAAATATCAAGATATAAAACCACAAATTGGAGGAGGAGCTCGGCAGAAAATCCCTTCAGTGGTTACAAAGAGCCACTGTGTCTACGCCAGTAAAGGTAAAGGAAATATTTTCGAAAAAAATCGGTTCGTTATTAACAGTTATGATGGTGGCTATCACATTAGTATTAAAAGCCGAAGCCTAATCCAGATAAGCGAAAGCTTTTATGGTTTATTATTAAAGTTTTCATCCAGCTTACCTTGGGTTGGGTGATTAACCCTCTGAATTTTCGAAAATGTCTTTCAACGTTTTCGTCTGGTTCTTTTACTGTTCTAACTTGGTTTTGTGGATTATTATTGGCCGCCAGCCTTTGACTAAAAATTCTCGAGACCATTCGAATTCTTTGAGAATCCGGCTCGGCTCTCCAATTGCTTTATCATTGTCCTTCCACGATTCTTTCCAAAATAAGCTGCATCCATCCCACTGGAGGAGTTTACAAAAGAATATTGACCGTCAATCGCTTCTAATTCTTGAACTTACTCCACCGCACTAGACACATCTCTCTGCTGCGACGAAAACATCATATCGTTTATTGGCTTCCGCAAGCCAGAAACCGTTACAGCATCTCGCCTATCATTCTGACAATGTGACTCTATCAGATCCTTTTGCCTTCATTTAACATAATCGTTATATTTATTATTATTCTTTTCAACCTCGTTAACAGTCCAAGAGTTGACATTTCCTGTTTTAATTAAATGGGACGCTTGTCAGCTTAAGTAAAGTCTAACGAACGGTCGGGCCTAGGCCAATTCTTTACTGCCTCAATATTTTCCTTCGCTCACTTCCACTTGTCAATGACGGACAGCTGTGTTTCTTTAGCACGTTCTTTAGTGTTTGATAGTCCACGCAGAACCGCTACTGAATGGAGAGCTCCGTGGACTTGCCGATTATCCGCCACCTTTGCTCATTTCTTTTATTATTTGGCTCAAAACTTCACTTTGAGCAGATGAAACACTTTGAGGAGTTTGGCGAATCGGCGTAGCGTCAGCAGTATCAGTAGAATGTTACACACCATTGGTCCTGCTTGATATATTGCAGGCCTTGAAGAATATATTGGGAGTAGATGCGGAGAAATTACCTGCCCTTATGATGGTGTTTGCCTTTCAAATCTTCCGTCCATGCATTGAATGTCTTTCTCCATACGTTCTTGCATATGGATTCGCCTTCTTACTTACTTACTTTAGTGGCGTAGATACCGCTTACGCAATTTTAGCCGAATTTATAACGTCGCTGCTTGGAGATACCAAGTAGAGCCAGGTCCCTCTTTACCTGGTCTTCCCAATAGAGCATAGGTCTTCCTCTTCCTTTGCTTCCATCGGCGGTTGTTGCATCGAAAACTTTCAGTGTTGGAGTATTCTTATCCATCCGGACCACGTGACCTACCGAGTAGCCGCTGTTTCTTGGTTTGCTGAACTTCACATGTCAGTGTCGCCGTATATCTACCGTATACAGCTCATCATTTCATCGGCTGCGGTATTCGCCTTCACAAACTCGTAGAGGATTGTAAATTTTACGCAAAACTTTTCTCTCGAAAGCTCCCAAATCTGTGATGTTGTCATCGTCCATGCTCCCACACCATATAGCAGTCCAAAGTAGTACCTATTGACAAGAGTGATTCTGCTTTGAATTTCTAGGCTGACATTGTTGTTGGTGTTAAAACTTATTCCGATAAAGACGACGTTATCTACTACATCAAAGTTAGTTACTACTGTCGACAGTGACGTGGGAGCTGAGTCGCGAATGTGACGACTGTTTGGGGAGATGACATGAGATATCTAACGGCTCGGAGAGGTCCTTCCCGATCCTGATGGCGCTTTGAGTGTTACTTTAAGTCAGTTTACACAGCCGTATAAGTTTTGCCGAGTTCAGACATAGCAGCGTAAATACGGCTCATATCCACGCTCTTGAAGATGGCTTTAAAGTCAACGAAGAGGTGGTGGGTGTCCACCCTATTTTCACGGGTCTTTTCAGATATGGAGCATGGTGAATATGTGGGCAATGGTTGATTTACCAGGCCTAAAACCACTCTGATAAGGTCCAATCCGTTTGTTTTCGGTTGACTTCAGTCTTTCACACAATACGATCGATAGGACAGGCGATATTAAGGAGGCTTGTCCCGAGATCATTGGTGCAGACTGTGGGGCCCACTTGTTTATGGATTGAGCAAAACACACTTGAATTCCAATCGTCGGGCATACCTGCCTTCGACCATATTTTGCAAAGAAGCTGATGCATTCACCTTGTCAGCTCTACACCGTCATGTTTGAATAGTTCTGGTTCACCATATCCGGATACACCATTTGCACTGCTATTCAGCCGGCTGAAGATATGTTCCCTCTATAAATTCAATATGCTATAGGCATTGGTGGATAGTTCACCTCTTTGTGTTCTATTGGGGTCAGCTTCGGTCTTGAAGCCTTGAGTAAGCCGTCGTGTCGTCGAGCATTACATTTGTCGGCCAGTTTTTTAAGCTCTTCATACCTACGCATCTCGGCCTCTTCCTTTTTTGTGTTCCGATGCATCCTGCCGTACCGGACATCACAGGTGTATTCGCTCAAATCATGACCTTGTGCAAGTGTTGCTCACGTTTCCAGGAATTGAGTTTCAGGGTATGCTTGACTACACCCCCTACACGCCTTCAGGTAAACATATTTTTTTTCACTTTACTTTCTTATTTGTAATAAGAATCTTGTTTATGAGGGGTTCTTCATTTCATGACAGAATATTTATTAATTTTGAAGAAAATTTGTAAACACAAAGTGCAATGAATACTTTTGAAGGAAAATGTAAAAATCGGGGAGCAAAATTTATATTTGGCTTAAAAAGTATAAAATGATTATAATTATTACTTTGTGAGCAATATGTTAAATCTGAAAAAAATATAATAATGATTACTGGCGGAGACGCCGCTTACGCGATTTTAGCCGAATTTATAACATCGAGCCATTCATTCCTTTTTCTCCCTGCTTGGCGCCAATTGGAGATACGAGGTAGAGCCAGGTTTCACTGGTTCTTCCAACGGAGTGGAGGTCTTCTTTTTCCTCTGCTTCCACCGGTGGGTACTGCATCGAAAACTTTAAGATCTGGAGTCCATTAAGACATGACCTAGCCAGCGCAGCCGCTTTCTCTCGAAAACTCCTGCGGGTTAGGGGTTCAAGAATTTACCTGCAGCATGCCCGTAGTAAGAGGCGACTGAAATCCAATAGTTACCGCGACGGTCGGATCTTTGTAACGGAACGACCCGGAATTTTATCCGGCCAAGGACTGTCACTCCCGCAACATTCCCCAAAAACTACTTTAGGTAGTATTTTTGCGGTTGCAATAACAGCAACAAAGGGAACGATGAATTACTTGTAGAGTTTGGCTTTCGTTCTTCTAGAGAAGAATTAGCTTTTCAATGGCTTACTCTGATTTACAGTCAGTTTATTTGATGACCGCAGATATTTCGTCTTGTTCTCGTTCACTACCAGACCATAACCTTCGCTTCTTTATCCAGTTTGGAGAGCAATACTCATGGCGCGGTTGTTGAGACTGAAAATGTTAATATCATCGACGTACGTGTACGTCAGCATCTGAACACTCTTATAGAAGACTTTATCTTCTTTATTCAGCTCTGCCACTCTTATGATTTTCTCCAGCATTAAGGTCTAGAAGTTTGAAATAATCGGAAAAAAATTTGTTTGTCTTAAAAGGTGCTTTAGGGTCTTAGAAATAACATACTAAAAGATGGATGCCGGCAAAAATGTCTAAATGGCCAAATTTTTCATTCGACGGCAGTGCCTTGCAGGTATGCCCCGCGCGCCATCAGCGGTCATTTTGAAATTAATTCACACGAAAAATTTTGTATTTGCACCATGAAACCTATATTATTAAACCTTTTTCACAGATTTTTGATTGATTCCTTTGTTGAGTCAACATAAATTCATAAAATATGGCCATTTTTTTTGCGCTCTAGACCAGCTTCCCCCCTTAAATTAAAGAAGAGACACGGTAAATAATCATCTTGTCTGAAACCTCGTTGGGTATCAAACGGCTCGGAGAGGTCCTTCCCGATCCTGGCGGAGCTTTAGTGTTGCCTAAGGTCGGTTTACATAGCCGTGTAAGTTTGCGGGAAAACAAAATTCAGAAATAGCGACTTAGAGGCAGCACCTTTTCGTACTCTCGAGGGCTGCATTAAAGTCCACGTGAAGGTGATGTGTGTCGATCCTTGCTTCACGTGCCTTCTCAATGTTTGGCCACGGTGAATATCTGGTGAATGGTTGATTTGCAAGGGCTAAAGCTACACTGATAAGGTCCAATCAGTTTGTTGACGGTGGTCTTCAAACTCTCCCACAAAACCTTATATGCGATATTAAGGATGCTGATCCCACGCTAATTGACGCAGACTGTGAGATCGTCCATTTTGTGGATTGGGCACAGCACACTTACGTGTAGATTCAAATCGTCGGGCATGCTTTAGTCAGAACATATTCTGCATAGCTGATGCACGCACCTTGTCAGCTCTTCACCGTCGTTTGAATAGTTCTGCGGGTAGGCCGTCAGCTCCAGCCGCTTTCTTGTTCTTTAAGCGGGCGATTGTTATTCGAACTTCTCCACTATGTGCTGGTGTTTCATTGTCACTGCCATTCAGCGAGCTAGAGAAGTGTTCTCTTCATACATTTTTTTACTTAACTCATAATGGCGCTTTGTAATCGCTGAAGCGATTTTAGGCCGAGCTGCTCCTACAATTTTTGGTGTGCCTTGATGTTTTTCCAACCAATAGAAGGACATTCCCTGCCGAGGGGCGACCGCAGTTAGAAAGTTTAGCTTAATTTTTAATTTAAATTACTTTTCTACAACTTTTTAGATGTTAGTTCGATACCAGGATTTGAAGCTGAGCCTTTTGAATGGCAGTATACGATGCTAATCACTCGATTACAGCGGCCGCCATTTGTGAAACTTAAATTCGGAGCGATATCATTATGATTTAGTTAAAGAATTTTCTAATATTTCATATTTTCGGGAAAATTTAAGAAAATTCGACATTTTTACGGTTTAGGTTTACAGAGAAAGCTAAAAATAAGTACCATTTTAAATAAAGCAAAAAATTTTCTTTACATTATAAGTTAGATAAAGCACAGTTTTTTTTAATTTTTTTTTAATATAAAATAATCTATAAATAATATCTGTATTCAAATGATAGCAGCTCGAGAGGAATGGCCAGAAGGGAATTTTACTTTGTTGGTTGTCGCTGTACATGTTGCACTTCAGAACATATTTGCCCAGAGTGTATGGGATATTATTGCCGGTGGTTATTCTGATTGATAATATTAAGAAGAAAATCGTGGAACATAATTATATATATAGGCCCTGAACATAGGGTTTGTTGATGAAGTGGATAATTCATAATTGATTGATATTTGAAGATTTTGCTTCTTGATATTAAATTAAGAAAAGGCTTATCATGTTGTAATTCTTAAAATGTATTTCTATAATAGTTTTATTTATGTTAAATATTGTATGTTTTGTTATTTGTAATTGCTTACACATAATAAAATAAATTCTGCGGGTTTATTAAATTGTGTATAGCGTACTTAAATATACCACAATTTAAGGTTCACACGCACAAAATAATTTCAAAATGAAAAGCTTATTGGTAGTTTATAGTGAATTCAATAAAGCATTAACAAATTTATTGCAAACATCAATTCAATTTTGCCTCTTTCGAATACTTTTTTTTTTAACACAAATACAATGTATGCAGGGTAAATTACATTTTCTTCTTAAGAATATACACACTGGTGTTTTAATGTTAGTAATATTTATAATTCTGGTAAACTGCCTGGCGAGTTAATTGAAGAATTTTTTTTTTTTTTTTTTTCAAAATAAAAGTAAACAAACTTCTAAGCACCCATTCAATGTTGGTTGTAACAATGGCATAGAGGAAGTGAGGAAGGCTTTACAGTTGCTGGCGTCTCTAAATAAGCAGCCAAATAGGCGGCACGGTTTCTTTTTATTGAAATTTTAAATAAAAAATATTCTGAAGAAGTATTTTGTCCAATTGATTTAAATGCAATGAATTGTTTTTGTCGAAATTTAACCACGCTCGGTAAGGTAATTTCAATGGCTTAAAATTCCAAATATCCCATTAAAAGTTACACTGAAGATAATTTGCATTAAGGTCCATACACATATTGATGTAATTGATTTTTATTTATTAATGTATTTTCATCTACAAATTTTATATATTTATGAAGACGTGAAGCGCAACGAAGAGGTTTTGTTAACATACAATAAAGATGTGTTTCCTTTCAACGCAGTATCGATTTAACATTGGCTTGTTTACGGCAACTTATATTCATGCCAATCGGTTATTAAGGAGTTTAAGGAGTTAAGAATAGCAATTACATTGCTAAATTTTCGAATATATTTTTATGGTGTAACTACAATTCTTGCGGGTTCCCATAAGTGTAGTTACTCCCCTCTCTTTGAATTTATTTTTATTGCAATTTTCCGCAACACAACTTACACGACTGAAAAGGATGTGCGAATGTGTATGACTTTTGTTTTTTTTTTTATATATAGTGTTTTTTAATTCATAATATATATGCATATATGTATGTAATTTAAATTTTAATATTTTAATTTCTTTCTTCGAATTTTTTTCAATAAAACATGGTAGACGCTCTAGTTGTAGTTTTCGCTTCTACCTCACTAGCATCTGCAGTTGATTTGCGTGTGTTAGCTGCTGTGGCTGATGGCTAGTCGATGAAACTTTGCTCAACGCAAGCTTTCACTCGCTTCTCGTATTCACGACGATTCTCTTTATAGAGCTGAGCAGCTGTGGAATTAGCTGGTGAATTGGGATTTGGATCACTCAACAAAGACTAAGTATAAAAAAAAGCATCAAAATAAAGAATTTTAATTTACATGAACTTTACACTTAAAAAATTATTTACTTTGCATACCTGTATAGATGTCAAGATAGCTGAAACGTCGTATGTGGGACTCCATCTGTTCTGCAAAATGTCTAAACAAATTCCACCATCTGCATAGACGTTCGGATGAAATACTTTCGATACGAATCTAACCGTTGGCGGTTTATTTGGATACTCTTCAGTAAATTCTATTGTTAATTTAAAGGTACCATCTTCGAAAGGGGTGTCATGTGGACCGAAAATCACAGCGTTCCAAATCATTATATTATTATCTGTAGGCGCTCCAGAGACTCCAGTTGGTGGATCTTCTTGAAGTCTATAATTAATAGAAATGGAAACAGCAATATTATTATTAGCTGCAAGCAGTAATGTATAAAGGAAACCATTTTCATATTAGATTTTGTGTGTTCGGCGAGATACTGAGCAGTAACAATTTTTACTGAAACGCGTTCGATGAGGCCAAAAGCACAAATGTGTTTGCTTAAATTACTACACCGTGGAACCCGTTTCGACTCGATTGAGGCCGTAAAAGAAAATTCGCAGAGGGAACTGAGGTCGACTGATTTCAACAGCTGCAGCAAACAAACTGGTTGACAGATCGCCCATTTTTGGCATAGTAACTAAGAACTGTGCTACCCTGCGGGTTAGGGGTTCAAGAATTTACCCACGTTTAGGCATGCTTGTCGTAAAAGGCGACTAAAATCCAATAGTTCCCGTGACAGGGTCTTTATCCGGCTAAGGATAATTGCGGAATATTTTTGCGGTTACAACAAACAGTCCTAATGTAAATCAACCGTATTTGTATTTAGAAAAAAATCATTTTCGCTTTACAATAATTTTTGAATACAATTGCTAAAATGAAAATGTCTACATTTATAAAAATACTTAAAAGCGGGCACAATAAACTGTTTAAACGGGCTGATTCAAATGCAAATTTCAAAACCAACAGCTCTTATGTAACTTTCTGGCAAATTTTTACTGAATACTGTTGGGTGAAAACTCTCTTTGGGAGAATAAAACTTACTCTTACTCGTTCAATTTTATTATTGGCTATTTCTGATATTTTTCAAAGAAAAATCTCTAATAATTACACCGTTGGAAGAACTAGTTTTCTCTTGAAGACAAACAATGAAAATACAGCAACTTTTAAATTAACTATGTGCTTTATTATATTTCCGTTCGTGCAGTGATAACTTAGGTTTGCACAGCATTATCCTTCCTTATTTCTTTTCATCCGTTTAATGAAATTCGTATGTCTCAAACATGTGAATAAACAACAGATAATTCCTTAAATTCTTAGCTGAACATTGCTAATGTCATTCGCCTGGGAGTGAATAAAAATGATTCTATTCCCAGCGATTCACAAATTCCGATCCTAGGGCAAGTATCCTCAGGGTAACCATTTACTGGTGCAAATTTTTTAAAGTTCATGATTTGCGGGCATGCGTCTGGGATATTTCAAGGCTATCATCATCGCCATCGAAAAAGTGAGTTGGATGGGATTAGGACGGAACAAGGCGGGTCATTGTGAGATCAGCGGCAATATAAATATAATACACTAGACTTCATCGCTGAATTGCGCTCACAACTCGATGGTAAAACGGCCGAAGATGGATTTCTATGAGCGGCTAGAAAACTGGTAATTCTTGTTTCTGTTTTTTATTATCGCCTATTTATGATTTTCTCATTTGTTTTTCACAAATTTACTTAATATATATTGTTGTATTAAAACGTTTAACACAAGCTATTTTTTAGGCGACTGTTTTTTGTGTTCTGAATTCTACACATTTGCAAAATGCTTCTGTCCTGTTTTTAAAACCGATTTTCCACTTGAGGGCTGCTGATTCAAACCAATTTATGGTTGCTTTGAGTATTTATCGAGAGTACACAACCAGAACAATGTGTTTTTATAAAATTTTCAAGTATATGTATTATATATACAAAATATCTAATGCTTAGCACAAAACATACTAACAGTAAAGAGCATTTCGTAATGATATACTCCATGCATGTTCATTAAAATTTAGTAAAGCCCTTCAGAAGCCGAGGGGAAGGTGATAAAGTGATTATGAACAACTGTTTAAGAACAAATGAACATTCCCAACGTATGTATTATAAGCACTTCAAGTTCCTGCTCGGCACTAACCACAGTTCTTAACCGGTTGAAAGTCCAGGTCGTTCTGGTATAAAGACCGATGATGTTTATTATATTTACTTTCATAATAACGTAGACTTACAAGCTGCTCCAACAACAAGCATTTCGTCATTTAAACCCCATGGATTGATTAATGTTAATCATTTAATTTCATCTATCCAAACTCATAAATTAATTTTCATTCGTAGTTAGCTATACTAGAATTTTTAATTTTTTTCAAATATCAGAAACAGAGCCCCCGAAATAAGAGGTTCTGGAGCAAAAGAAGATAGTTTTGTTTGGCGTGTGAAGAATTTTTTGACAAACTGTTGATGTATACACACGATTTGGACGTGGAAAGTGTACTGCACATACTTACAGCTTTACTGTACATATAAATAAATAAATATATGTGCAATATAATAATGCGCGTAAATATTATATTTAAACAATTACGTGAATATACTCGTTCTAAGGCATGTCTCTCGTTACAGACGACTAAAATAAAATAGTTCTCGCGACAGTCGGATTTTTATACCGGAACGACCCGGATCGTCCACGCTTCTGCGCCATATAGTAGGACGGGTATAATGAACGCCTTGTAGAGTTTGATTTTCTTTTGCTGAGAGAGGACTGTACTTTCCAATTGATTGGTCAGTCCAAAGTAGGACCTGTTGGCAGGACTGATTCTGACAGGAGATATTTCGCCTTATCCTCATTCACTACCAGACCCATTTGCTTCGCTTCTTTATCGAGCCTGAAGAAAGCAGATCTATCGGCGTGGTTGTTGAGGCCAATAATGTTGATATCATCGGCGTACGCCAGCAGCTATACATTATTATAGAAGATTGTACCTTCTCTATTCAGCTCTGCAGGTCGTATTATTTTCTCAAGCAATAAATTAAAGAAGCCACACGAAAAGAAATCAATCTCTCTGAAACCCCGTTTGGTATCGATTGGCTCGGAGAGGTCCTAACCGATTCTGTCGAAGCTTTTAGTATTGCTTTAGGTCAGTTTACACAGCCGTATAAGTTTTGCTGACGTATCCCCCACTACTTTGTCTAATAGTTTTGGAGTTACAAGAGCAACAACAACAAAATATTATATATAAAGCAACTCAGCAGAATACCAAATACAATCTCGTGTGTTAAAAAAAAAGTAACAAATATTTACCTTACAGGTACAGTTACCGGAACTCAAGATTTTGCTCGAACATCTTCGAACAGCTTGAGCATTTGGCCATTTGCCCAAAATTTAAGAAAACAAGGTGGAACAAATCGAGATTTAAAAAAAAAAAAAATGTTGACTTCTGCTTATTTTGGTGAAATCAGCTTTTTCGTTCATTTAGCGAATGTCTTATTAGACATATATTTCAATATATCCTTGTTCCGCAAAATAAGTTCTAATTAGACCAATAAAAATAGTGGTGCCAGGGGCACATCACTTAACTAATTATTATCATTCTGTTTTCTTTCTGAAATTTCTAAATCTAAAAAATAAACCAAAATTTCATGGTACGTATTAGCCTGAGAGGGGAAAACGCTTTATTTCAACTAGGAAGTAATAATAAAATAGATCGGAGCAAAAATATATACACTTATATACGCTGGTGTTAAGGAAAATTGTATAAAAAAAAACAGTTGCGTATTCTAATGTAATCATCGCAAATAACAATTTGATATGTGCATATAATTGTTGTTTTAATAAATATAAACACATATATGCAAATGCATTCCATTCGATTTCATAATAAAACGAAAGTAAATTTCAAATCGAATCAAAATTTTATGTTCCAGGAATAAATAAAGTGAAATACCAATAAGGTCATGAAAATTTGTACGAATTTTCGGGAAGGCGCAAAGGTTCAGCGGAGTGCAAAAAGTCAGAAAAACAAATAAAATTACAATGCCAATGCCAGCAATTTTGTGCCCAATTGAAACGCAAAACGAAGAAATATGTATGCATGTACTTATACATATATGTGTATATATTTATGTGTGTATATTTGATGAGCAATAAGTAAAAAAAAAATGCAAACTATAAAAATAGTTAACAACGTGTGTTGAAAAATATCACACGTAATTGTTCATGCAGATTTCTTATATGCGTTTTAATCTGCGTATTTTCATAAACGATTTTTGAATTGAGATTTTCCATGCAAAATTTGGCTGCTCACCAACTCCATCCCCCTCATTTGGACCTTATAGATTTATTTGCATTACTCACCTTTTAAAATCTCTCATAAGTCGCCTGCGTGCGGGTGTTGACATTTTCCTTTTATTGCTATAGCGTATTTACGCTTTTTAACAACAAAATTAACAATTTTTACAAATTTTAAATTGGCAGCAAAAATTTTTCCTTATTACACGAACACAACTAGAAATCGTTTCGTTTTACTTCTTTCTGCAATTCCTCTTTCCTGCTTTTTTCTTGTTTGCTACCTCCGATTCCTTTTTAACTTCTTCACTTATACGAGCTTTTTAGTCTCACGGTATGGCATTCGCTATACGGCTAATATTATTTTTAATTCGATATTGTTTGGTGCATACAACTTTTTACTAAAAGTCAACGATATATATTGACAAATTGGAAGCAATCACCTACAAAACATAAGTAATGCAATAACACTTAATAAAACCATAGTTAAAACAACGACGGCAAAATTCGATTGAGCAGACGATTCAAAGAAGACCAACCAAATCTGCTGAAAACAACAAGACAAAGCCAACTAGCTAGGCATATGTCAAGTCATCAGCTGATTAATACAAATATTTTATGTGTAAAAATGAAACAGCATCATATAAATCAAACATCCGTTTCATTGAACCCTTTCTAATATTTTTGTCTTGTTTGCACACAAGAAACATTGCGTCATGGATTGTAGGCAGATTCCAATTCACACATATTGTCCCTTTCATTACGTTTGTGTGATGCCCGATTGTGCAAAATATAGTTCATCTGAATATTGTATTTATCATGTGCATTAACTGCTATTTATTTGCGTTCAAATAATTCTATTACTAAACAGACAATGAAAATATATTAAAATCTTTTTAAAAGGATTTTATCTGAGTAACGATTTTTCTTAAATGGGCCTCAATGATTTTCCCCAAGTTTGATCAGTGAATTGTCAAATAAAAGTCAGCAAATTTATTGTACCATTTCTTAATTGCAAGAAACTTATCAACGTTTATCTATTACTCAGCTTAGTTGACATCTTTTTTCATTTTGAATAGATGTTGTCACCGCGGAGCTTTCTTTGTGAGTTGCCGATTTCTATGTTAGCCACTCTCGTATGTATCTCCTCAAATGCTGTTACTCAGCTCTGAATTTTTCGATATGTTCATACGATAAATAGAATTTTCGAAACCCTCGAACAGGAACATGCCGTAGTTATTGGTATCTGTTTTTCATCTGTCATTCATATTTGACAGAAGCATATCCGGATCTTGCAGCCGACATAGTGCTAGGTGACTCCTCCCAATTTACCACTGTATGACCTCGGAAAAGTTGGCCGTAGAGATATTTGAGGAGACTTTTGACGATTGCTATCAACGCTAATAAATTTTTGTAAATCTTGAAATTCTCCAAGAAAAGTTGTAGTGCCAGAGAATGTTTATCAACTCTAAGTTCTCTGGTAGTGTAACCGCCAAAATGATAAATTCCCGGAAGTTCTGCAACTGTAAAATATCAGCACACTTCGCCGGTAACTGACCCTCCTGGTCAATAATTAGCATAGAGAAAGCTGGCAGACGTACATGAATATGTTGAACAGTTTACCCAGGTTGTGAGTGGCAATGTACAGATTATAAGGAAGATTTTACAGACTAATCCAGAAAGAAGAAAAATGTCTGCTGCGAGATTGCCGGCGTACTTAGCGAAAATCGTTACATTATGTTACCCTGCAAATAATGATTGCCTGTGGAGACGTCAGGTACTCCATTTTAAAAGAATCAAAATGTAAGGTTTTGAATAAACCCAATTGGATTAATTAGTTTTATTAAGAAAAATAAATTTACAGAAATTATGTTTGAGCTTCTGGGAAATTTTAAAATAAAATGTTGCTTAAGAAATGCAGTCAGTTCAGTTATCTATAGTTTTTTGAAGCAAAAATATGTGACCAAACGCTTATTAAGGCATATGTGGTGGAAGTTAATTTTTAACAGCATATGTTCTTATGTATGTATATGCATATACGTAACAGTTTAGAACGTACAAAATTATTTAGCATTTTTTTTCTTAAGGCTTTTGTTTATTTCGAAGTATAAATTTATAATTTAAGCTAACGTCATATTTTTTTTCAAGTTTTATAAAATAAGTGTAAAGTTATGGACGGAAACTGTAGTCTTTTTAAGATTGATCTTTATACATATTTAATAAATAGATCAATTGTTGCAGTAATTCGATATGTTTGAGTTTCTTTGAATTTTTGTACTTCTTAAAATGGTTCCAAAAGCACAATGTTGGGATTTTGCATCTCCAAAAATATTTGGTACTGTGAAAACACGCAGAGCCAACAATATATCTGCAATATAGTTTTTAGTCGTTAATTTGTTAAATATTTGTTTATATTATATATTCACATTGTAAGCCATCCAAACAAAATTTAAAAGTGCAGACAACGTTTGTTCCAGCTATAAAAAACACAAGAGAGATTAAAATATTCCCAGTATTTGTAATCTGTATTATATTCTTACGTAAATATAATATCCTCCAATAAGCCAAAGTCCCCAACAAAATTGGAATAAAATACCGAAACCTACCAATATAAGCCACGGTAAAAGCCATCCCCTTGTACTAATTAAAGAGAAATTATTAAAAATAGATGACAAAATGCAAAATAATTTACCTTATTTTAATTCCGTAATATACCAAGTAAGATGCAATAATGAGAAATAAAAAGTAAAATATGAATATTCCGCCATAAACTGGCATCGACGATCTAATATCAGTTTCAAATAGTGGGGAATATAATTGTGCTGATTCTCCACCTGCTAGCATATAACAAATCTGAGAAAATTTTTAGGATTATATTGATGCCAATTAAAATATATCAGGGCATATACACACCAAAGTGATTAGCACAACGGATAAAGCTGCTGAATATACTGCGACCGCATAACTTCCGGTCTTCACCGAGTTGGACCAAATGATTGGTGACCAGCATGACTCCAAAACAACCATTTCACTATTAAGAAATTAAATTGCAAGAATTAAAGCTGGATATTGATATTAATAAAAGACATATGTATTATCATAAGCGTTGAAACTTCGTTACACCAAATTAGGTGTGGCCCTCAGTCACGCCCTGTTAGTTTATATCAAAATAAATTCCAATTAATTTTCCTGCTTAGGAAGCATTATAAGATTTTTGTCAGTGATACCTTTTTTGATTCGGAATGTTCTGTAAAAAGTAAGAAAGTTTTAAATAACTTATTTAATTGAGGTTCAAAAAGTAAACAATACAATTAACTTAATTGAGAACAAACTGAAATGACACGAATGAACAACATAGAGAAATCAACAAATGTCATACTTGGCGTTGCCAATTTAATTTTGTAACGATTTTCGTTAAATATGCCTCGATGTTTTCCCAAGTCGTACGAGTTCAGTCGCTGCATATTAATTGATAGTCACGAAATGTTGTACAACTTCTCCTTTGTAAAGGATTCTATCAACAAATAAAAAAAAAAATAAACAAAAAAAAAAAAATTGCTTTACTCAACACGCCGACTTATTTTACAACTTTTACACTCAACTATTTTCACATTGCACCGATGTTGTCTAGCGCTGCTTTGCCCGCAATCATATATGTATCCCTCACTAATTACTCGTACCCAGCTCTGAAAATTTCTGTAATGTTCTTAAGATTTTCAAAACACTCGATACTAGTTCTCTAGAATGTGCTTTATCTAGCGGCCTCCCCCCTTCATCTTTTGTAAAATAAGTCGCGAGTATAATATAGCAAATATTTATTTATTGAGCAATAAATACACGTTGCTTGAATTCCTTACATTTAAGATATTGTACAACAATGTGTGTTGTGAAAATACTTTTGTGTAATCGTAGTTTTAAAAAGTCAAAAACGAAAATTCCTAATATATTTTGTTTATATAAACGAACGTTCCAAATATCAAAACCCATTTTAAAGGAAGAACAAGCAATCTTATGACAACTTCTCCTTCATTTAGACCCCTTTTCACAAAAAATTGCATTGTGAATACCTAAAAACTCCGTTCAATCTGGTATTTGCTTACATTTTTTTATACAGTTTGGCTTAGTTCAATTTTTTTCAAACATCTTTTTTGGATAATAAATGTAAATAAAATTATAATTTAATGAAGTTCATTTGATATATTTTTAATGGGAAAAAGACTTTGATGATTTTAAATTAAATGTACAAAATCTATGTATGTATTATATGTATATGGCTATAGCCTGAAAAGAACAGTTGTTGTTGTTGTTGTTGTAGCGGATTCGCTAACCCCGCTTAGGCACAGGCTTGAGTTAGTCTAAGTCGTCGAGGTCATCTAAAGGTAGGCCCAGGAAACGAGCTGTTTCGACGGGGTTGGGCCAAAGGGAGAGGGGTGTTAGATGAGTAGGTTTGAGGGGGCATGTGAAGAGGTGGTTAGTGTCGTGCGGGGACTCTCCACATGCCGGGCATACGTTAGGTATGCTGGGGTCTAGTCTGGATAGGTAGGAGTTTAACCTACTACAATATCCAGACCTAAGTTGTGTCAGGGTCACGCGGGTCTCTCGAGGCAGCTCGAGCTCGTTGTCTGCTATGGGTGGTGGTATTTCTCCGAGTACGCCATTCACTGGAAGGGAGTTCATGAAGGTGTTAACTGACTCCTGGTGAATGGCGTTCAGTGCCTGTCGATACGCCGTCCTGTCCAGCGGTTGTTGTGTGTGTTGCTGGATCGTGTCTTTGAGGTCTAGTACTCCCTTCCTGATGTGCCTAGGTGGAGGTTCAGCTTCTATTAAGTGCCTACTGGGGTGCTCTCTGCGGTAGCATCCCAGTAGGAACTGCTTGCACAGCAAAGCATTATGCTCCTTAACTCGTAGCATAGATGCTTCCCTGTGCAAGTGATGCTCCGGCGACATCAGGAGGTTTCCTGTCGCAGTCCTAAGGGCGGTGTTTTGGCAAGCCTGTAGCTTCTTCATCTGCGTCCCGTTCGTCCCCGGCGTCCAGATCGGAGCAGCATAGTTTACGACCGGCCGGCCAATTGCTTTGTAAGTAGCCAGCAAAGTTTCTTTATCTTTACCCCAGGTGCTGCCGGCTAGCGCTTTGAGTATTTTGTTGCGGCTCTGGAGTTTTGCGGCAATTGCGGTCGTATGCGGAGTGAAGGAGTGCAGGCTGTCCAGAGTTACTCCCAATATTTTTGGGTTATTTATCGTCGGAATTTTTTCGTCATCGACCTTTACATCTAGTTCAAGCCTGTACTCCTTCGTCCAGCTGGTGAAAAGGGTAGCCGAGGATTTTGTCGGTTGGATTCGTAGTTGTCTTGCAGTGAAGAAGTGGGAGAGATCAGCGAGGTAGCCGTTTACTTTCGAGCAGAGGTCATCAATATCCTGGCCAGACGCCATTATCGTACAGTCATCGGCATACGAGGTTAGGGAAACTCCTTCTGGTGGTGGAGGGAGTTTCGATATGTAAAAATTAAACAGTAGCGGGGAGAGGACACCACCCTGCGGAACCCCCTGTTTAATTTTTCTGGGTTTAGATGTTTTACCTCGGAATATTACCGATGATTGTCGACCACTCAGGTAGCCCATGACCCACCTCTGCAACCCCGGCGGTAATGAGGATTCCTCAATGTCCGTTAGTAGCACTGAATGGTTTACTGTGTCAAAGGCTTTTGACAGGTCCAGTGCTACTAGGACAGTTCGCGCGCAGGGTCGGTTTTGGTTGAGGCCATGGACTATCTGGGTGTTTATGGCGTTAAGTGCTGTTGTGGTGCTGTGCACTTTTCGGAAGCCATGCTGATGCGCTGCTGGACGCAGATGGTGAGTGAAGGTCGGGAGCAGTAAGGCCTCAAGCGTCTTCGCTACTGGGGAGAGGAGAGTTATCGGCCGATAAGACTCTCCTTTGTTGGCTGGTTTCCCCGGTTTTAGTAGCGGGACCACCCTACCCATTTTCCACACGTCGGGTATCTTTAGGGTGGTCAAGGACAGATTGAGGACCCTCGCGAGAAATTCTGCTCCCGCTGGTCCAAGATGTTTCAGCATCAGCATGCTTATTCCGTCGGGGCCGATGGATTTGGAGGCTTTCGCCTTCCCGATGACCCCCTGAACCTCCTCCCTGGAGAAATCAAGCACCGCGCTGGTGTTTGGCAGTTTGCGCATACGGCGGGTCACACGTCGTTTCGCTTTATCTACCGAGGGATGCAGTGTAAAAAGACGGCTAAAATAGCTCGCGCATCTCTTCGGGTCCGACGAGGCGCGATCACCGAATGAAATTTCCACCCGGTCATCGCGTCTCGTCGGGTTAGACAGCGACTTGACTGTGGCCCAGAGCTTGGTTGCCCCAGAGGAGAGGTTGCAGGTCCTTAGGTGCTCCTCCCACCTTTTCCGCTTATGATTGTTTACGACTCGTCGAATCTCCGCGTTTAAATCCCTGATTAGGGGATTCCCGGGATCGGAGCTTCGAAGGGTGTCGCGCCTGGTTGCTAGTACCGCCGCTTCTGTCGGAAAGTTAGGGCGGATTTCCGCAATTCGGCCTGCCGGGATGAAGCGGGCGGCAGCGGTCACGACGACCCTGCGGAATGAGCGTTCACCAGCGGTGACGTCAGTTGGAGTGGGAAGGGCACTAAAGGCGTTCTCGGTAAATTCCGTGAATCCGGGCCAATTAGCTTTTTTAAAGTTAACGAAAGTCCGGTGGTCCGCGGAAACAAAGTCGGGAGGCCTGTCAATCGAGATGTGTATGGGCAAGTGGTCCGATGCTAACGTCAGTATAGGTCGCCAGACTATACTGTTTATCAGACCAGCACTCGCAATTGTTATGTCTGGCGAGCTTTGGCAATTACCCATAACTCTGGTGGGGGTGTTATCGTTCATTGTGCAGAATGTCGAATCGTCTATCTGTTCAGCCAGCTCCATTCCTCTACGGTCATTTGACAGGCTAGAATGCCAAAGATCGTGATGCGCGTTAAAGTCGCCCAAAACCAAGCGGTTTTCGCCCCTGAGTAGCGCACCTATGTCAGGGGTGTATCCAGCTGGGCAACTTGTAACTGGAGGGATGTATATATTAAATATTTCGAGCTCGACATCGCCTGACCGGATAGCTATGCCCTGACATTCTAGGGTAGTATCCCTGCGGTCGATGTCGCCATCGATAAGACGATACTGCACGGTGTTGTGCAGGATGAACGCTAAACCCCCGCCATGGTCTCGCTCGCGATCCTTGCGGATTATGTTGTATCCGGCCCTGTTCAGAAGATCTGATCGGGCGGTCAACTTGGTTTCCTGGATCGCAGCAATTGGCAGGTGCTCCCGGCTCATGTAGTCGACTATCTCGTCAATCTTTCCCTGGAGTCCGTTGCAGTTAAATTGTAGAAGTCGGGTCTGTCTCGGGGGAGCGTTCGTGATACGGGGAGTGAGGGAGTGATGCGTGGATGATGTGTGTTGCTGCTGTACTACCCGCGGGAGTTGGTTCCGCACATTGGTGTTAATTGGCGGAGGGTTTGTAGAGATATGCGGGGGCAGACTCCTACAGCAAGGGGCAACGTACGCATCGCTCCACTCACGGGTGGTGCGCAGGCCAGAGCATGTCCGAAAGTGACACCAGCCAGAGCAGAAATTGCATTTGACTGAGGTCACGTTCCGACGCACTATGGTCTGACACACGGAACAGACAGTGCGGGGGACTAGGAGCTGCTGGGTAGCCCTCGCACGGGAGGAGGATGAGGAGCTGGTTGTGGGTGGGGATGGGGGTGGAGGTTGGGGGGAATCATGCTGCGGGGAGCTCCGTAAGACCGTGGAGGTCTGCAGATTACCCAGAGTGGGTATGTGTGCTGAAGGCACTGCCGTGGAGGCTGAGGGGGCGGTTGGACGCTGGCAGCATGGGGCCACATAACTTGTGGTCCATTCCCTGTGGGTCTTAAGGCCTGAGCAGGTCTTAAGATGACTCCAGCCATTGCACTGGGTGCATCTAACCGAGGTGGATGAATGGTGGAGTCTTCTTTGACACACGCAGCAGAAGTAATCCGTCGGTCCAGGGTTGGTTTCTACACCAGCCCTGATCAGAAGGATTTGGAGCAACCCAGCTGCGAGGTGTTGCTCCGTTGACGTACTTAGACTAAGGTTACCTGTAGACCTAAACGGGGTTAGGTCTCCGAAAGGGTGACAGCCCTTGGCCAGATAAAATCCGGGTCAACTCCGGTGCGTAGAACCGGCTGTCGTGAGAGTTGAACAGTAATAGTTATAACTGATTTAAGGTTTTTTTTTCTACAAATAACCCACCCTAGCAACATAATCTCTGACTAGATCTTACAATATGCTTACGTCGGCATC